TTTTGGTTTTTTTTTTTTATTTTAGGATTTTTTGGGGAATTTGGGGGAATTATTTTTATTTTGGGGGGGATTTTTCTTGGGATTTTTTAAGGATTTTTTTTTATTTTATTTTTCAGGGGATTTTTCTGGATTTTTTAGGGGATTTTGGAATATTTTGGGATTTTTTTGGGGTGTTTCAGGTTTTTTTTGGGTTTTTTTTGGTTTTGGGGTTTTTTTTAGGGATTTTGGGGGGATTTTTTTGGGGATTTTTGAAAAATTTTTTTAGGTTTTTTTGGAATTTTTTTGGGAATTTTTTTGTGCTTTTTTGGGGGATTTTTCAGGGTTTTTTTGGGTGGGTTTTTTTTGGGGGGGGGGCGGAATTTCTGAGTAATTTTTCCCAGATTTTTGGGGGAATTTTATGGGATTGATTTGGATTTTATGGGAATTTTTTTTTATTTTTTGGAGAAGTTTTTTTAGGGCATTTTCTTTTGAATTTTTAGGAGATTTCCATGAAATATTTTAGGAATTTATCCCATTTAATATAAATTTCAAGCAATACTTTGGGAATTCCCATTGAGAATTCCATGATTTTCAGGAATTCCATCCCAAATTCCCGTTTTTTTCCAGCTTCCCAGATGGAAATCAAGAAACTCACCATCCTCTCTTCCATGAAACTCCCGCTGCAGGACGGAAGCAACAAGGTATTCCCGCTTTTCCAGAGGGAAAATTCCCAAAATTCCCAAATCCCGCTGCCATTCCCAAACCCTAGGGGGCTCTAGAAACACTTTTATTCCCATTTTTTTACTTTTATTCCCATTTTTTTTACTTTTATTCCCATTTATTTTCACTTTTATTCTCTTTTTTTTCATTTTTAATCCCATTTTTTCCACATTTTTTCCCATTTTTTCCACTTTTATTCCCTTTTTTTTTCACTTTTTTCCCCGTTTTTCACCTCAGAATTCCTGTTTTTTCCTGGAATTCCGTGTTTTCCACAGCTGCACCAGATCAATGCTCTTAATCCCATTTCACCCTCATTTTTTCCCATTTTTCCCCCATTTTTCCCCATTTTTCCCCCATTTTTCCCCATTTCCACCCATTTTT